TACCACACACCCTTCCAAACCTCCATCGCATACCATCTGGCCCTAAAGTAGTTTCTTCAAGTGTCATCACATATTCTAGCATAAAAAACAAAAACAAATAATGATTTGATTCATCTTGAAAATATGATAGGAGGCCAATGGAGTCTGCCAGCTCTTGCTGTGGTCTTATTCATTGAGTTCCCTTGATCTTTCTCATTGGCACCTATGTTCATTGTGATGTATGAAAATGCACTTCAAGGCATCTACCCAAAAAAAGCATGCACTTCCAGGTAATCTAGCTCAAGTATGTCTTTAACATAGATAGGATAAAAATTCATAAAAGCCTTTTTTACACAATGTCATTTTCCATTAAAACTGAAAGGATCACATGATTTTGTGAATGCTCATAGTCAATGAACACTTTTTTTTTCACTAAGAAATAGATAGAAAGGTTCAAGCAACCTCAGAACATAACCTAGTAAAACAGGTCGTGGTTTTAAGCAGGTAAGCAATACAAAGCGATTCCCTCCTGAGCAAGAGAGCTCTCATTGTTAGATTCTCTAAGAACATAGACACTAACATAAAGAAAACCCATCTCCAATCCTAATAAGATCATTGAAAATAGTAGAAATCTCCAAGCCAGTGTGATAAATTTCATTCCAAGTTTTGCAACTCATCCAAGTCCACTTCACTCACAAGATTCCCAAGTTCTCTTAGGAAAAGCTCAGATCAAATTACCTATAGCCGAATCAACACCTACACGTATTTTAGGTTTTGTGTTAGCATATGTTAGTTATCCTATTTGTACTGGGTGGCTTAAGTTCGATTCCAGCTGTTGGGACAGAGAAAAGACGAAAAAAATCATTGCGTTAGTGAAAAACTCAAGCGAGTCAATCTAAGAACAAAATTTGAGTTTATAATCTTTTTTTTGAGAATGGAACTATCTTCTCATAAAGGCCGTATGATGTGCTGAGTAAACCATGCTCAAAGCCTCAAGAGCACAAGGGACCCTAGGAGAAATGGGAAAAACATCAAGAACTCTCACAAGAGCATTCAGATGTGCCTCAATTGAGCGCGCAATTCGCTATCCCAGGTCCGGAGAGCTCTTCTTAAACGACGATGCCTAAAGATTCTATAGTATAAGTCTATAGGGTTATATGAAAGAGTCAGTCAGGCTACTCTCTTTATGGTGTATTCCCTAACGCTGCTTAACAGTTATTGGACACTTGATACCCTTGATCACAATATAATTTTTTATAATATGAAGCACCCAAGTGTGTGTATATGTGTGTATGTTGTAAATCTCAAAATTGATGTACAAGTCTAGATGCCTTTACAAAATTGAAAATAGACTCTAGACAAAACTCTTCTATGAAATAGAAAAAGGCAATTTGTCAAGTTTTGAAACCCCTTCTTTTGCCTAGGCGTCTAACTCCTCATTTCATTCGTACCAGAAGTCGATAGGTAACCTGCCTCGCTGTGTGAGCAAAGATTTCTTTAAAAACATTATAATCAGCAAGGGCTTGTGCCTGGAAAATTGTGTTTTTTTTTTAATCATGTTCTACTAAACAATTTCCCAATTCTGACCAATATTTCAGATTCGATAGAGCATGCACCAGGCTACAGCTTCATTTGCATCCCATGCAGTCCCTAATAAATCATCAGACTTGATCTCCTGAATTCACAGCTCTTGTCACCTCTATCCATACTCCATTTCACTTATTCTCAAAATCATTCACAAAGAATTCCCAGAACCCTTACTTACTCTAGGTCATGCAATGACTGTGACTCTTACAAGGTCTTTCGCCCAATTTATTATCTGGGCTTGAAATCTTTCCTTACTACAGCCCATGCAATAACTGTAACTCTTTCCTGACTACACAGCACCCTCAAGTAGAGCTGACATAGAACACTTCAAAATGGGCAAAGATACGCACAACCCTGGTTAAACACTAAATCTCCTCAGATACTAACTAAAGATATCCACAGTTCAAGACAAAGTGGAAAGATATGTCCAACTACTGACAAGGCCCTTGAGATCAAATTGATTGCTATTTTTCAAATAAAATGAAATCTTGGAAAATTTGAAAAGGAAAAACTAAAATTGAAATGGTATAAAATGAAAAACATAAATCAATAGATGAGGCAAAGGTTAACTGTAATAAAACTACACTCAAAAAATAAAAAATGAAAAGAAAACATTGCTCAAACACAAACACTCCTACAAGGTGGGATAAAAAGTTCGCATTTCCAACAAACACATTTTACAACCACATGAACCATTCATAAAAGTAAAACATAAAGGCTCCGTCAAAGAAAAAATATATCAAAACGGATAAGAAACATATTAAAAGTAAGGAAAATATACAATGAGACCATGTACCTTTGGTACAAGGTGGTCACAATTAATCTTGACTATTAAATGTGAAGTTTGGTGGCTGCATTTATTTCTTTAACCAAACTCAAAGTTCAAAAGAAACGTTCCCGAACTTTGTGATACACCCAAGCTATCAGATTTCACATTGGATGGTTATAAGTAATTGTTACCAAAGATAAATGGTCTCATTGTATACAATCTTTTTAAGTAATTATTTATTTATTCAACATTCTAATGGAAAAAGTATAAGCTATTTTTATTAGAGAAAATATTTCAACATTCAAGTTAATCTTAAGTTTGGTGTCAAAAATCAACATACATAGAGGTCGAGAACTGGTCAAACCCATTAGTGAAAGTTGATGTTGGGCAAGTTTGAAGTTTGAACTGACGGCAAGCCCCCCCAACATTTGGATGAACAGTCCAAATTTATGACTCCATTTATGAGGGGAACTGCCTGGACTTGTGTTCGTTAGCAAGTTATACAGACAAAGGAGGTGCCGAAAAGCTTCTCTGAAACTGGTGGTTCTTCAAATGGAGACAGCATCAATCCACTTAGTTTTTGAGCCCTAGTACTATATCTAACTGGATTCATGAACCAGAAAATACTGATTCTATTAAAATCAAACTAGGAAACAAATGGGCTAACAGCACAAAACTTCAACAGGCAGACATCAAACAGCCAATTTTTGTCTCAAATTGTTTTGTTTTGTTTTTTTTTTTTTTGAAGAGAATTTTTCCCTTGCACCACTTAGTTCCCAAAACCTCCTAGGACAAGGATTCCATCTGCCTCATGAGTTGAGAAAGGCTTCCATCTGCACACGGCATATAGACGAAAAAAAAAAAATTTGAAAAACTAAAACAAGCACTTTTCTCTTCATGTTCTGATCGCTAATAATTTATAAGGAAAAAGACCTATAACCCCCTCTCAAAATTGTTATTTCAAATAACCTCCTGTCCCATAAATCCATGGAATCTCAAGTTAAACAAAAGAGTACATTTAACCCCCTTCTCATCTTTTTCATTGTCCAAATTATCAGAACTTGCCCTTCGTCAAGTCATTTTTCTAATAACCTCACACAAAAATCAAGTGTGTGATGCCCCTTTTTAACTTGTACGGTTCACGAGATGAGAGAGAGACAAGTCTTGATCATAGACAATGGAGATTAACTATAGTGAGCCCAACTGGGACATCCAACCTAGTCCGATTAATCTCCAATGTCTATAATTGAAACCGACGCAAATGCCTCTTTGGAGTAATATTTGTTCAATTAAGGTATGATCTTCTGACAAAGCATCCTCTAGGGAAACCCAGCCAGCACAGATTGTATAACAACAAAAACCGCATGCCAATCTGCAAAACATAAGTAACGATCAAAAGAAATGTCCAAGATTGAGATACCCTTTTCGTATCTTCAAGTTCAGCAGCCGGAACTCATTCTACTTCAAGTTTCCTAGAGTATGCAATTGAAGCATGCAATAGGGCCTAAACACAAGCATAAAATAAACTCTTTAGTTATTCTAATACTCGAGAGAGCTGGTAATGTGTGGCTCAGACCCAATACAATACTTGTTTGGAGGTGCGAGTTAATTCAAGTGGAAGGCTCAAAAAGGACAAAGGTAAGCCCAAAAAGACATGGTTGGATGTAGTGAGAAAAGATATAAGTACTTATGGTCACTGAGGATACGACTCTTAATCAAATGGAATGGCGGACTAGGATTCATGTAGCCAACCCCAATTAGTTGGAGACAAGCTTTGACGATGATGATTCTAATAACCAAATATTGCAATTCATAGTTTTTTCCCAATGACCAATCATTATGTTGTCATGCCCAAGTCAATTTGACATCAAAAAATTGTTCATAGTTTTTAATTGGAAAAAGGCTAAAATGATGATGACGATGAAACTGTTCATAGTTTCCGAAGCCCAGGTCAACCTTAACAAAAGAAGGAATAACCAAAGATCATGTAAGCTACACTAACCATTTCTTGATATTTTCAATTAAAAAACTGCATACAACATTTGCTAAAAGAAAACTACAAAAAGCTTTTATATCAAACACAAAAGAACAATAACATGTTAAGATTGGAAACGATAATCAAGATTGGGTACCAAGTACAGTGAAGATAGATACATAAAATATTTATATCCCAGAAAATCGGAACAAGAGCTTTTCATCAACTTCATGCATAAAACTAATATGCATTACAGAACAGGAATGAGAAGGCCATGTAAGAGGACCACAAAAATGAGTAAAATGGCATTTTACAAGTAGATGCATATCTCACCACCATCATCTAGGACAAACACCTCCCCATGTTCAAAAGGAGACATGGTTCCAGCATTAGCATTCAGATATGGATCTGCACAGCTTAAAGAAATTCATAGCTACTTGAAATTTCAATCAAAAGAAGATCAAAACATAAATAAGGCTGAGAAGATGCCTGTGTGCCAAAGTAGCCCTTAGATCCCCACCCCCGGTCATCTCATTTCATGAGTGATTTTTTTCAGACTTTTGTTTCTCTATCCAACATTTTCTCCAAAGCAATGTGTGTTTATCCCAATCCAGAATATAAATCCACAAACAAATTTCACTAGGAAAAGATAAAAGTAAAGGCAAATACCATTTGTATATCTTAACACAATTAACTGCAAAAGACTTTCTTTCTCATAAAACTCAAGCATAGAATTTTTAAGAGTACAATTCAGAATCAGAATGAGAATCCTTCAAGGTTTCTCCATCAATGTCACAGTCTAACTCTTTGCTAACATTCAACATGAAAGATTTTAACAGAGAAACAATAGAACCGCCATATTCAGGCCATGAGACCAGCAAAATTCCGTTTCTCCCTCTGATCTGGCATTTTGCCAAAAGAGCAGCACCAACACCATCGATCAAATTACCAGACGGGAAATAACTCAGATCCTTAACAAACCCCAATGCATCACCTTCATCTTTGCAATCCCTCTGCTTTGATGTTTCGAGCTTGAAAACTAGGGTTTCATCAACGGGAAGTGTGCCTCTGTAATTGCAGCTCTGAATCGAACCAAAAATCAGGGTTTTCTCAGGCTTGATCTCGTCAAACACGAGCTTTGCCAGGGCTGAAGCTCGGTCAGCGCATACAGTGTACTGGATCAAAAGCAGGAAGGTTTCAGGCGATGAATCTAGCTTGAAAATGTTACAGGAATTGTCGGAGTGTGAGGGGTCTAGGGTTTTCCCGGAGACTGAAATCTCCGGTAAAACTACGGTTCCAATTAGGGTTTTGCAGGTGACGTGGTGGAGAAAAAAGCATGAAGGTTTGGAAATGGCGACGATTAGGGTTTTGGGATGAAAATTAAGGTCAGGGTTATGGTCGGTATTTGACCAGAGGATGAAGGGTCTAGGCAGTGGAGAAGGTGGAGGGCTGAATGCGTTGAGATCTTCGAAATAAAGCCTTGAAGGAGGTAGAAAGTCCGTTATTACATCATCCATGGCTGTGTAGCACTAGGGATTTCTGGCAGAGATCACTAAAGTGCCAAGGGTTTTATAAACTTGACCTATGCAACTCTCTTTTTAGGGATCTTTGCAGACAGATTTAATAGAAGGCTTAGAATTTCATTAACTTTCTCTGCACGATTTTGGCGCCGACCTCTTCGCGCTCTCTCACTCTCTCTTATTTTCACGGAACTCTGCTCTTTTTTAATTTTCACAAATGCAAGCCTTGGGCTGGGCTCTCTCTCGATTGCCCTACACCATTTTAAACAGAGCTCGTAATTTTAAACAGAGCTCGTAAATTTTAACCTGAACGGTTAACCGAATAAAATTATGGTTTTTTAATAAAATTATGTTTTATGATAAATATAGGAAGTGTTTTTCTATTTTGCTTAATAAAAATATTTTTTGATCAAATTATTTGTTCTACTATTCTTATTTTTTGATAAAATCAATGCACAACACAGTGCTATGGATATGGTGGATACATATGAACATATAAGAACAATAGAATATATCAATGTGTTGTTCATTGATTTTTGGTTTTGTTGAATATCATGCGATGTATTTTTTGTGAAGTATGCCTTCTTTAACTTCATCGAAAAAGTATTGTATGAATTATGCTTTATCTAACTATATGGAAGATGTCCTTTTTATTTCTTGTCTTAATTAGCTAGTATTTTTATTTGATTTAACAGCATCAAGCTACTTTTGTTATTTGTAAAAATGTGCATAAACTTTCATTTCTAATGTGAGCGATTTTTGTAAAAAGAAAAAACGTAGAAAGTTTTTCATGTAAGGTTTGGGATACATATGTTAATTTTTGGAAGAAGATGTTGCATGACAAAACTATCTTCAAAAAATATTCTAAGATATTCTCATGTACAAGACCATAGTATTGGAATATTAATTTATAAAAAGTTATTTGCGACCTTTCAAAAACCCCAAAAATGAAGCAACATTTCGAGCACAAAACGACCCTCAATGTTTGGATAATTGAACAAATAAACATACATGCATTGTAAATGCTTTGATCATCTTTCAAATGTACCAAATATCATCAAAAAATATGCGGTATTTTTAATTTAATTGAAAAAAAGGCCGAAATTTTAGATCTATGAAATTTTTATGACATGGCGCAACGAAAAAAATCATATAAAAAAATTTACTTAATTATAAATAAAAATACCAATTTTATTTGAGATATGAAGCCTCAATGATCGAAATCCTCAACTGAATTTGGTAAAAAACAATCAATAAATGGACAAAAAATCTGCGTTTTTAGGTAGAACACTGGTTCTCATATCAACAGCTTTTCGGGCAAAAATAAACCCTTGATTTTTTGTTTTATGAACAAATTAAAACTTGAATCTAATAAATACTTCGAATACACCTCAAATTTCTTCAAGAAACCATTAGGTATTAAGGAGATTATTGAAAGAATAGCCGAAATTTTCAAAATCCTAAAAATCTGCCATTTAAATCCAAGAAACTCTTCTTTTTTTTTTTCAATATTTAAATCCAAATTACTTGTTTTATATTAATAATATAGTGATTTAAACCATTAAAACATGAAAAAAAGCAAAAATTGGTCGCAAACCGAATCAATAAAGGTGAAAATTTGGATTCACAATTTTCCTGCTACATATAACGTTCTCTATTTCAAAAAAACGTTGTTATTATACATTACCGTTGTTTACTCTAAAATGTCGTTATATCGACGAACCAGTCCGGTTAGTTGAAAATTGGCCGGCTTTGATAAAATACCGCTGGTTAGAAATTGAACCAGCCGGTTTTGGTATCAGTTTTTTTTGGGGAGAGGCGTCTAGTAGTACCGCAAAACCGGCCTTAACCGGAGTCGGTACCTTGCTGGTACCAATCTAACTGGCCGGTTTTGGGATCACTGATTTTAAGGATGGTATACTAGGAGACTCTTTATCTTTATTATAAGGAGGGAACATTCACTTATATTCATTTGATGTCAAATTGGATGGTTTGGGCTATTCATGAATTTTGAAAAAAAAAAAAATTTTTGAATTTTAAGTCTTTTCAATGACACTCTGACCACCACTTAATTTGAAATTCAATGAACATGAGTGATTGTGACCTCTTTGTACAAAAAATAAATAATCTCTTTATATATATACATATATATTTTTAGGTAGGTTAGCGGTAGGAGTGTTCTCCCATAGGAGTTGATTGTACATTTATTTTTCGGTATACTCATGTACAAGTATTGTTGGGGACTACATATTTTAGATACGCAACTTCTTCAACCAGAATTTTACATCAATGAAGTTGAAGGACAAATTCTATAGGACAGCAAACCAGCTCTATTTTATGGGGCAGAATACTGGGCAATTAAAAAACAATATACTCATAAAATGAGTGTAGTAGAGATGAGGATGTTGAGATGGATGAGTGGCAAGATAAGAATGGATAGAATTCAAAATAAATATATTTGATAAATTTTACATGTGGCACCAGTAGACGATAAGATAAAAGATAGTAGATTTAGGTGGGCTAGCCGTTAGTGGCCTTGACTCAGTACAACACCTGTTAAGATGTAAGAGTTAGTTCAAGTAGAAGGTTCAAAGACGGCAAGTGGTAGGCCCAAAATGACATGATTTATATGGGACTTATGACCTCATTTAGTGTACGATCCGTAATAGCGGACCAAGATTTGTATAGGCGATCCCAATAAGTTGGGACAAGGCTTTGATGACGATGATGAACCTCTTCAACCTAAGGACCAATCTCAAAAAGAAGAAAAAAAATTGAATTCTACCGTGCATGTACTTGCAATAATAAAATCTAAATAGGAGCCTTCCACTTTAAGGAGCCTCATAATCCTTTTTTTAATAAACATTCTTTACGTGGATCCCATAATTTTGTACCATAAAATCGTTTTTAGTAGCTCTTTTGCCCTAGCCCCTAGGGAATGTGCGTGAAGTTTGCTCCTATAAGAGCTCTGCCACTTCCCCCTCTAATTACCCTGCCCTTGCTCTTGCTTCTCTCCATTGAAACAATATGATTCATGGTCACTTTTCTTCACACTTATATCCTAATATCTTCTCCCCAATTTAGTCAGAGAAAACAAGATGAAATATGTTTTATCAATTGTTGTCTTTTCTTCTGTTTGGGAATGGAAAATCATGGAAACAGGAAGCCCCATATTTCTCGATGTTTCTATACTTTTCTCTATTTTAGGGAAAAATGTAGTGCACACCCGATTTATAAAGAAAAGGGATAAATGTTTTTTTATTACTCTAACCTCACAATCTCTCTCCACCCTCAATCTTTCTTTCCCCACGCTCTAGCCCGAGTTTTCTATAATTTTAATAGATATGTTATCGAACAATGGTCCTTGGCTTCCACCTATGAATTTTCTACTTCTACCCTTTTCTCAAGCTTCCAATTTCTCATAAATTCTCCAGGAAAATAACTTTCTCAATTATCAAACAAAGCTTTGACTTAAGCTAATTTCCCACCCTCTCGTAGTTATGTGTGCCTAACTTTTCCAACTATTTTCCATATTTAAATAGTGTTTCAATAACAACAATGGGTCTCGACTCACTTGGGTATGATAGAATTAGACCACCCTATGAACCAAATTGATGTATTTGATGAAGATTTTTCTTGAAAAGCTAAATGCCAGAGAATTTGGTCCACTCCATTGTTCTCAATGCCAAAATAACATAGTTGATGATCCTTATTGAGCTCAAATGATTGCAACTCAAATTTTTGTGATTTCTAGTTAGAATGAAAATAGTTGCAGCTGAATGTCACGAGGGCAAACAAACTTATCAGAAATAGGGAAAAATTATGGAAGGTATTAATTTTACGAAAAGTATTATAATGATACCATTTACCTTTTGGAAAAGGTGGTCACAATTAATCGTGACCATTGGATGTGAAATTGAGTGACTGCATTTATTTCATTGATCAAGCTCACAGTTCAAAAGAAATTTTCTCGAACTTCGTAACACATCTAAGCTATTAGATTTCATATCGGATAGTTGTAAATAATTATGACCTCTCTATACAAAAGGTAAATGTTCTGATTATATACAATCCCTTAATTTTATACTAAAAGTAAGATGCACATAAAAGATCCACTTGAAAAGATTGTTACGATGTGAACCCTTTGATCATGTGATGAAGGATATAAAAGTTAGAAACAAAGATCTAAATTTTTAAAAATAGTACTAAGATATTATTTGGACAATATATTTTATTTGAGGATTAAATTTCATAGTTAAAAAATAAACATTGCATTTGAAAATATTATTGATGTACATAATTTATGTTATACGTGTCATACCAACCGCACACATTGACAATGACAAATTGTTTCATGCATTAGGGGACGCACTTCTACACGAGCATCTCTCTACACATCCAACACCCACCTTAAAGATAGATGCCGAATAATGGTATGCCCACCAAAACTTAAAGGGCGCGGTTTGTATAGAGCCAAGGCTCTAAATAATCAAAGTAAAGCGCACATTCAAATGATGTCAACAAATGTAGTTTCAATACGGAAATCTTTGTGATAGCTTTAAAATATATTTTCATCTACAATTATAAACTTTAAAGCTTCAAAAATAGCGTAGATCAAGCAGATGTATGAAAACTTGAAAATCTTGAAAATTGACAATCCAAAAATGCATTACAAGATGCATTGTTTTCAAAACTTGAAACACATTTTTTTCCTTATATCCATGCATCTTGATATAATGATGAATAATTTGAGGATATTTGGGCATCAAAATAACCTCTTCTATTGAAAATTTTGAGGTCGGCTCTAATTTGATTGTTTAGAGCCTCGGTTCTACATAAACGTTTTTTCAAACTTAATGAACATGCAGCAATTTTAGAGAGTCCTATCTCTTTTCTTCATCCGTTGGTACCTTGAGAAAATCCTTTGTCTTCCCCTTTAACTTGCTTGCCCTAGCGACTATCTTGTCTGTGACTTTTAGCTCTCAAAGAAACTTCTTCTCTTGCACATGCAAAACTTGGAGATCTTTTTGTCTTTTTTCTCTTGGCATGAAACTATTCACAATATGATACCTTGTATTTATATTGTAATGCAACATAATTATATTATTAAATCTCCATATATTGTATTCACGGTAATATCTTATGTACATCAAGGTTATAAAAGTTAATCGCTCCTAACCTTTATGTATACACACAGACATACATATATATAATGGGTCAACACACAAGTATGTTTGAACGATTAT